GAGTTAATAAAGTTTCCTTTATAAAAAAATTAGAAATTTCTCGCAAATTTGAAGCAAACTAGGGGGGCTTTCCGGAACTCAGTACCATCGCCACGTTGGACCTTGACACCCCCGACCCACTCAAATGCCCCTCCCGGTCCCATCCTTTTTCACTCCGTCCCTGCTCCCCATTGCTTTACATTCGTGCCTTCCTACTCTGACGTCGTCGTTGTACCTCTCCAGGTGCCACCCAGGCATTGCCGGATGTTTGAAACCACCACCGCGTGCATGTTGGCCTTGTACTACGGAGCCGTCCACCCAGGATAGATTCCGCAGCCAGGTACCCTCCATCTCCCTGTGGACGACGTCCATGGCGGATACCACGCTCGACAACAAATGCTATTGAGCTTATTTTTGAACTTCATGTCGTTTTTTAGAGTAAGAAGGACGGCGGGGTATTCGACCATGGAGGATGAGTTGTTCTGGGGTGCGTGGTTGGCCGTATCTGCGAACTTCGTAGTACGAGCAGGAGGGGGTTATTTTGGCAGTGCGTGCATGGTTTGTTTCATGTGCAAAAGCACATTGCATGTACATCATCCATGAACGCAATGTGAAGTCGTTAGTGTATCGATGGTACACCATCCAGAACTCCTTCATGAAGTTTTGTGTCACAGATTGGCTGAGGCCATGTGTCCACTGCATGCGGCAACCATGGAGATCGCAAGTTTTGCGTCTTCTTGCTTAACTTGTTGATTTATTGATTCATTCACTCAATGTTGCTTTACACGTTGTGTAGCCTGTACGCGTTAGCGTGATGTACCGCAGGACGGAGAACAGACAATTCACGCACACACATTGTTGGATGAAGCTCAGAGCATCTACAGTGGGGCATCCCAAATCCGTCTCATACGCTCGGGCGGGCCGAACGGTCACGAAATTTTGACCCAGACGGGCGCCTCAAACGGTCTTCAAATGATCGGGCTGATCGACACCCCTCATATCCAGCTCAAGTATGGGGCGGATATGGGTGCGCCTGGGCGCGTCCGCCATGTCGGTCTGACATCGGTGTCCCACGTGGAATCGCCCGGAAACCTGGCGGTCCGAAGCTCGTCTCCTCGGTCAGACCGATGTCGCCGTGTGGCGCCGCTCCGGCGGGCCGTGTAGTGCCTAGCCCTGCTATTTAAACCGACTGTCAGCACCAAAACCCTACCCCTCCATATTTTCCTCTGCCCATCCAGCGTCACCACCACCAGTAGCCATGCTTCCCACGACGCCGGATAAGGGGCTACCCATTTCTAACGTCGAAGCGCCAGATGCAATTCCTTGAGAAGATCCGGGCAAGGCGCGAAGTCCGGATCACCGCGGGGATACCTCGGGATGTAGTGGATCCGGAGGAAGAGTTGGCGGAGGAGGATTTGGGGGACGCTAGGGACGCGGATCTGCAGGCGGAGTAGCAGGCTATCCTCGATCCCCTTCACTCGGAGTCGGATGTAGAGGCCAGAAGCCGTCGCCGGCAGGAGATGAAGGCGCAACACGCCGCGGAGGAGGAGGAGATGCTCACCTACATGGATGAGGTCGATCAGGAGGAGCCGGAGCCCTCCTACGCGCCCGGTCACCTGGTGCCTGACACCGACGTCGTGGATATCTCCGACGATGAAGATTAGTTAGGGTAGTACCTAGGATTTCTTTTTGCATGCTTTGTATGAATTTAGGGGATCAAATATATATGAGAGACTCGGATGCAGAGTAGCTAATTTGAGGCATGACCGGCCACTGTCCGTGGACGTGCCCGTTGGTGTTTGCATACGTTTGAGGGATTGGATTTGTCAAATCTGCCTGTAGATGCTCTCAAGAGGCAGTATGTGTGGGACAACATGATCCATCCATGAAAAACTTGTTAAACATCCGGTTAATCTCATTGAATTTGAATTATTGTTGTACTAGATTATTTGCATGCTATGTATGAATGATTTGTGCTATTTTCTATCCTATTAATCAATTCCGTCTTGGTTGATGAATCCATCCGGTCAATTAAAATCTGGTTCGAAATGTATGCGGATAGCTTTGGATAGCTAGCTCCCGCATGAACCGTGACGGATAGGGTGTCCGGTTTGCTGGTCAGCTTTGGAAATGCCCAAATACAGTTTATGTGGATGAGGTCAGCAACGTTTTGGAAGAGCCTAGACATTATATAAGGGCTCTCCCTGAAAGCCTGTACATTAACATTTGGCAGCACGCGAGCAGCTGCTCCAAAGACATCAGCACTGCTCGCTCTCGTGCAAGCTATAGCCAAGCCTCGCGCTATCTCGTGCTCCTACCAGCGACACCACACCTCCGATTCACGTCGTGCCTTTGACCGGCGCGGGAGAGCGAGGACCGGGGATGGCCGGCGGCGGTTTCCTCCTCAACGGCGCCGGCGCGCCGGACTACGGCGGCGCGCTGACCGTCCCCGTCGTGGTGACCTGTCTCATGGCGGCTTCCGGCGGCCTCATCTTTGGCTACGACATTGGCATCTCAGGTGCGTCATCGTTCCCATCGCCGTCCGTACATCTCCGTTGGTGGAACTGTGGATGGAAAGCCTGCTTACGACGTTCTTCGCACGTTTCTCCCTTTTGGTTGGAGTTTGGATGGACGGAGGGAGTGAGTTTTATCGATCAGTTCGTGGTTCGTCTCTCGATGCTGTTCTTGATTTGGGTAGTAGTATTAGATTTCCAGTAGCTATGCTGTGAGTTCGCCACCATCTGCGGCCAATCGAAATCGTGATCTGAAGCCACGAAGAGCATCCTCTTGAATAAAATTTAATTATACTGGTAGTTTCTGCTTAGTTTGTCTTCATGTCCGATCCCCAAATATCTCCAAATCGGACCGCAACTTCTAATCTAACCGAGTCAGGCATGTGTTCGTCGATCACACACACGCCAAACAGGCGGGCAGTAATATATTGAGTTGGTACGACGGCTAGATCCAATTGAAAGCGCGGCAGGCCCTGTCAGCTGTCCTCCTCCCGTCAGATCAGTCTTTGCACCACACAAATCACACTCCCGAGAACAGTGGTGCCCAGTACTGTTCACGGCCGGGAGCATCGCAGAAAGATATTTATACTCCCACCAGTAAGCTTGTGCGCCAAGCCGTACGTGAATCAAGCCAAATGGACCCTTCACACCCTTTCTTCTCCCACGATCTTCATTCACATCGACGACAGGGACCAGAGGAGAGGGCACACCCGATTCGTGTCGAATTGGACGGGGCCAGCGGCGTGCTGTCCGGCGATTCCACGGCCTGCGCACGGCTCGTGGAGCGCCCATTAGACACGACAGCTATTGGCACGGTTCGTTAGCTTTCACACTAGTCACTAGCGGATTCGTTCGTATCGTTGATGGCTCGTTCTGACTTCGGACCGCGCCGAGCCCAGTTTTGCTGCTCGGTGTTAGTACAGCCCTCCGACCTTAATCGTCGGTGCCACCACGCGCATCACCAATTTTGGACGGCATATACGTAACCCCTCACGCGAGATAAGGTGTCGTGCTGGCGACGGCGGATTATTTTGGGGCGTCCGGCTTTCTTGCTGGGCTCACACACGAAAGCCAGCCGTGTAGATGTAATTCGCGGGATTTGTGATACGTTTCTGAGTTCCTAGTAGCGAAAAGGGTACTGGCAAAGTTGCTTTTCCACTCGAATTTGGTGGATAGGCTTCCTAGTCAGTCCTAGGTGAGGTTTATTCGAGCAGTGGAGTAGTGCTCTCTCCTCTACTCTCCTACTACTCCAGTTATTAGTCCATTGTGCTCTCGCGAAAGGAAGCCAGGATCGACCGGGATTAGGAACGTGTCGTATCCGTCTGAGTGATGGATGGATGGACGCATGAGCTGACAAGATCGGACGCTTATATAGAGATAACATGCTACTAGTTTCATACGATTGATTGGTAAAGAATACTCGCGTCTTTCTGAACAAAAAACGAATATTTGCTTTCTGCAAAAAAAAAGGAATATTTGCGCCAGTGAGTGTCAAATAATGCCAACGAATCCGGTTGCCAGAAAGAATAGTGTTGTACTAAGAATCGTTTTTTTTTTGCGGGGAAATTCAGAGAGCTTTATTGAGTAAATGCATTCTTGGAACAATCAGCCAGAAGGCTGGACACCAAGAAGCCAGGGGTCTTGTCAAGCCAACTATCGGTCACATTAAGTGTGCAAGCACGCTTTGCACACAAATGAGCCGGGAGATTAGCTGACCTGTTTACATGTTGAATAACAAAAGAGGAAAATTGAACACTAAGCTCTCCAATCTTTAAAAGTAAAGGAGCTACAATCAAACGAGAATTATGATGAGTGGTCCAGAGTGTCACCAACTCTAAGCAGTGCGAGAATCCACTGAGAATCGGTTATCTGACTAATTTGGTTCAAGGAATATGAAGAATACAGTAAATATGGGTTTACAGTCATCCGCAGTTAATAATAATAACAGAAAAGCTAAATCACGCTCGTTCCAGTTAGCAAGATGACATTTTATCGTACTTATACAACTAACTCCGCAAATGATTTATTTTTCTTCACTTGAACTTAATCTTGTTCATGGCACTAACGTCATCGATCAGGCGGTGTGTCGGAGATGGAGTCTTTCCTGAAGAAGTTCTTCCCGGGCTTACTCAAGACGACGAGGCACGCGAGTAAGGACGTGTACTGCATGTACAACGACCAGGCGCTCACGGCCTTCACCTCCTCGCTCTACGCCTTCGGCATGGTGGGGACGCTGGTGGCGAGCCGGGTCACCCGGCGGGTCGGGCGCAAGGCCATCATGGTCATCGGGGGGAGCATGTTCCTCGTCGGCTCGCTCGTCAACGCCGCCGCGGCCAACCTCGCCATGCTCATCGTCGGGCGGATGATGCTCGGCCTTGGCCTCGGGTTCTCCGGCCAGGCCACGCCGGTCTACCTCGCCGAGATGTCGCCCCCGCGGTGGCGCGGCGGGTTCATCTCCGCGTTCCCTCTGTTCATCAGCGTCGGGTACCTCGTCGCCAACCTGATCAACTACGGCACGTCGCGGATTCCGGAATGGGGCTGGCGCCTGTCCCTCGGCCTCGCGGCTGTCCCCGCCGCCGTCATGGTGCTGGGCGCCGTGCTCATCACGGACACCCCGAGCAGCCTCGTCCTGCGCGGGAAGCACGACCACGCCCGCGCCGCGCTCCAGCGCGTCCGCGGCAAGGGCGTGGACGTCGACGCGGAGTTCAGCGACATACTCGCCGCCGTGGAGCACGACCGGCGGAACCAGGAGGGCGCGTTCCGGCGGATCCTGCGGCGGGAGTACCGGCCGTACCTGGTGATGGCGGTGGCGTTCCCCGTGTTCCTGAACCTCACCGGCGTGACCGTGTCGGCCTTCTTCTCGCCGATACTCTTCCGGACCATAGGGTTCGGTAGCGACGCCGCGCTGATGGGCGCCATCATCCTCGGCCTGATGAACATCGGCGGCATCATCGCCTCGGGGGTCGCCATGGACCGCTACGGCCGGAAGCTGCTCTTCGCGATCGGCGGCGCACTCATGTTCACCTGCCAGGCATGCAATGCATACAACAAAGACCTACGTATATATTCCGGCGTATGCATTGCAGCGACACTAATGACGCGCGCGCGGCCTTGGCTTTTCGTTTGCTTGCAGGTGGCAATGGCGAGCATTGCGGGGACGCACCTGGGGCACGGCAGCAAGATGCCCAAGGGGTACGCGGTGGCCGTGCTGGTTCTCACGTGCGTCTTCTCCGCCAGCTTCAGCTGGTCGTGGGGCGCGCTGTACTGGACCATCCCCGGCGAGATATACCCGGTGGAGGTGCGGTCGGCGGGGCAGGGCACGGCGGTGGCGCTCAACCTGGGCCTCAACTTCGTGCAGGCGCAGTGCTTCCTGGCGATGCTCTGCAGCCTCAAGTACGGCGTCTTCCTCTTCTACGCGTTCTGGCTCGTCGTCATGACCGCCTTCGCCATGGCGTTGGTGCCGGAGACCAAGGGCGTGCCGCTCGACTCCATGGGCCACGTCTTCGCGCGCCACTGGTACTGGGGCAGGTTCGTCAAGGACCACAAGTTCGGAAATGAGTCCACCTGACCTGCGTCTGCGTGCGTCCTTGGCATATGGATTGGTTTCGCATTGTGTGATGGATGTATAACTCGAAATTAAAATGCTAGTAGAATCAAAAGGGCGCGCTTTGCTGCACCCTTAAACCAAGCCACAAAAATATACTCCCTCTCTTTCAGTTTACAGGGCGTGCGCGTATCCCTAAGTCGTCAATTTGACCAACCTAATGCAAGTTATATATTACAAAAAATATACCAATATAAACTTCAGATGTTCTATTTTCAAAAGGTATAATTTTTGTGTTATATTGTTTATATTAGGGCGATAAAATTGGCAACCTAGATTTATACGTAGGATTTGTAAACTGAGACGGAGGGAGTAAACCTTTTAGCCTGAGCGATGCTCCCTTGTCCAAAAACATTTAATCCGCCTATTTCCAAGTCATCGCTAATGAGCGTCAGTCGGCAGAAATGCTCAATCCTTGCTTGTGGGACGGGGATGTCCTGCTTGAACAGACAAGTAAAATTAGGTCCCATATTTACTACTTCTATCTAAAGCTCTTATTGATCCGTAGGGTGGCCTCACACATCTTCTATCTACTTCCATGTACTTCTACCTAGTTGGGGTGGTTGGTGTTGAGTAACGTGATTGTATTAGGAAACATAGATTAGACTAGAAAATATTCTGGCTTGCCTTGTACTCCAAGTAGATCATGTACTCATATATATGCCCATGAGACTCAAGCAATACAATAACTATTGCATCAAATCCCTCTCTCCCTTTCAACATGGTATCAGTTTCCGGGTTTTAAACCCTAGCCGCCGCCGCTTCCGCACCCGCGTGCCGCCCCTGGGGCGGTCGGCCTCCATGACCGCCGCCGGGGGCTGCGCCGCCTGTACCTAGGGTTCGTCCGCCGGTCGTGTCGACTGGCTGCCCTTGAGAGTCTTTTTCCTGATCATTTGATCTGGATTTTCTCTCTCTCGTCGGTCGCATCGGCATCTACTTTTTGGTTATTTGATCCGGTTTGCGTCACCCGCCGTCGTCGTCAACCCTATGCGCCTCTACTCTGACACTGACGCGGCCGGCTGGCCTCTTCACCAACCCGGCGGGCTCGCGCAACAGGCGGCCCCTCACGGCCGTCGTCCGCGCATCCGCCCGCTAGTCGCCCCGACCCGACGGCCTCGCGTCATGCAGCGGCCCTTCACGGCCGCCGTTCGCGCGCCAGCCCGCCCATCGATCTACGCCGACCGTCATCGCCCTGCTCCGACCGGGACTCCTGCATCACCCCGACCCAGCGGCCTCGCGCCATGCTGCGGCCAATCATAGCCGCCCTGCCGCCCGCCGTCGCAGGCCTCATCCCGGACTCCGCCGCCACCACGCCTTCATCGAGCGGCGTCCCCAACCTCGCGCGCGATCGGCTTGATCACCCGCTCACAGCCGCGATCCGCCCCATCAATGCCGTGCGACCAACCTGGCCTGTCGGTAGCGCGCACCTCTGCAGGTCCCGTGAAGATTGTCCCCGAATTCAGCGCGCCCCTCCGTCGATCGAGCAACGTGCTGCCGCTGCATCGCCCTGTCGGGCCGCAGCACGCCGCCCCGTGGTTCTCCTCGCGGCTACATCGACTCGTGCGTCGCCACTGCGTCGCTCCTTTGGGCCGTAGTGCCACGATACGCGGTCCCCGCCGCCGCCCCGAGGCCGTCCCCGTGGTTGCACCGACTCGCGAACCGCCGTTGCGTCGCCCCTTCGGTCCGCAGCGTCGCGGCCCGTGGTCCCCGCCCCCGCCCCGAGGTCTTCCTGCCGTTGCCCCGACCCTCCTGCCGCCGCTGCGTCGCCCCTTCGGGCTGTAGCGCCGCGGCCCGCGATCCACTCCGCCGTCACCGCGCGTCGACGTCCCGTGGTATGCGCCACGTCATCTCCCTTGGCGCGGGAACGCCACCGTCCGTCCCGGTCTTCGTCACGCTATCAGGGTTCTTCGCCTACTTTGAGCACCGCCGCCGCTCTTCTTTGGCCGCCGCTACCTCCGTAGCCGCCGCCACCGCCCGTTCACCCCCTTCGTCTTCGTCCAAGCACCAGCCCGTCGCCAATGTTGCCGTCATCTACCCCGACCACTTCGTCTACTCCGACCACCGTTGGTGACATCGGCCCCGCGCCGATGGACGTCGCAATCGTCGTTGAGTTCTTCTCTGCTGGCCCCTCTGACTTCTCCGACATGGCGTACATCTTGTGAAGGTCCCTCATCTACGCATGCCCGATGCTGGCAACATTGATGCGTGCCTTCATCCACGACGTGTCCCCGGGCCTAGCAAGCCTGGTCGGCACTTCGTCAACTTTGTCCTCGTCCGTCTACACATGCCCGGTGCTGGCAACACCGGTGCGTGCCTTGATCCACGATGTGTCCCCGAGCTTGGCAAACCCGCCGCGACGCGCCGTCAACACCATCATCCTTCCGGCGCACCACTACCTCGTCACCACTGCGCCCATGACTAACTCGGTGCCTCCTTGCGCCCGCGGCTCCATGGCGACTTCCTCGACACCGGCCACCCCGACTCGACATCGACCACGACATTCTTCGCATGGCTACCTCGACCACGGCTCCACCACCCACGCTCTTGGCTCTATCGACAAACGGCACAAAGGGATACCGCCTGCTTGAGCAACCGTGTTGGTTTCCACTCCAGCCACGACTCCGATGCGTCGACCGTTAAGACTGTGTGGGGGGGTGTCCGTCGGCTTGCC